CCCCCAAAAAACAAAAAAAAGCTGCTTAATTTCCTTATTTTGGTAATCATATTACATGCCATTGCATTATATTGCGCATATTCACTCTCTCCAAGTGGAAGACCACGTGGAACCTGGAGAAGAATCCTTGAAACTGAAATACAGAAAAGACGAAAGACACTGAATAACATCAAGAGGCTAGTCCAGGATAGGGAAAGAGGAACGTGTTTGTTCGAGGACTATATCCTGGTCCAGGCTGAGAAAGGCAATGATGATGTCAGGGGCGAAGCGTCTATATAATCAAATAATCACTACTTCCCTTCCTCATTTTGAAACATTGTCGCTGTCAAATTCACCTCTTAACGTAAACCTCATAAATTAATTGTAAAAAGACGTTCATAATCAACAATGAAAAGTATGCCTAACATTCAAAAAGGTTTCACTGCCACAGATATTGGCCTGCTCACCCCTCTCGGGCCACTCCACAAGCAGTCACAAGCTTTGATTAAGTAAGCTTAAAGTGAAGCTGGAAGAGTCTACCAATAAAGTTGAAGGGAACATGTCCATAGCAGTAAAAACTGTTTCATTGCCACAAATACCCTGTTCACCCCTTTGGGTCCACAGTTATAAGCAGTCGCAAACTGTGATTATGTAAGCTAACTATTACACTAGTCAAGTTTACCTCACAAATGTGAGGGGAACTAACTCTTAACAATCTCTTGACTGCTGCAAGTGCTTGCTTTTTTTCCTCGACTTTTTACCGTCCTATAATCAAATGATGACCCCGATTATGACACCGCCTCCTGGCCGCGAAAGGCTAGACAAAAAACAGCCCAATGTGAAATTTTGAAAAAGGATAATTGTCAAGTTCTACCAAAGAGTTAGACTCACAGGTAGATCTATAACATATAGATATAGTACTAACATCTCTGCTTCTTTGCTTTGTGTTTGTGTATTCGCATCTAAAGTTAAATTTAATTTTAGTTGGAATTAATATTTAATAAGATACTTTCCCGATTATTTTGGCGGTTGAACATACAATATGAAATCCGGATTTGTTTTCATTCACAATTCACAACTCAAGAGTATCTGGTCCCGTTTCACTTTGATTACCCTGTCAAGCAAGTCAGCCTTCGCCCCTGATGATGATGATGATGATCTACACTCCTTAGTATGCTCTATACTCTATATAAAGCCGAAATAAAGTCACGAGCCATGGGTAAGGTAAGCTTATCCGGCTTCCCTCGGCCACATAACTAAACATCCCTAGCCCCCTTTCTGGGGCTCTCGTGGTCTTTGTAGACGTTAAGATGCTTGCCTCTCATTCAATAAATCCCGGGTTCGAATTTTCTCTAAAAGTTTCTCTTTTCACATCCTTTTCTGCTCTCTGACAATGTTCTGTCGTCTGCTTTCGTCTCTACTTTCTGCCCCCCCCCCCCAAACCTCCTTTGCATCTTCCTCTGAGCTCCTGACTCTTTCTACAGCTGTTCTACTCTCTAGCGCTACTCCTTAGCTCTTTCTCGCTGCTGTCTTTCGGCCACACCCCTGATCTTCTGGTAGGAAAGATCTACACCTAGCCTTCTCGGACAAGGGCGAAAAATCTCGGATGTCCCGTGTGCAAGTTGCAAGTTAAAGATCCCTTGGTGGTCCAAAATCGATAAGAGTAGGCTTCGGCCAATTGAAAATGTTTAATGTGTCTCGCACGCTCAAATGACCTAATGCAGTTGCGAGCGCCGTAAAACACTTACCCAAAGAAAAAGTCTTCCTCTGGAAGAAAAGTTTACAAATCTATCTCGAATAGAAGTTGAGATATTTGTGATTGGAGGAGGTGAACGTCACTTGGTGTCAGAGGTAAAGCTAGGAATAGTAGGAATTGAATCCGAACCAAATTATGTTCTAGTGAAATTTCTTCCCTGGATTCTATGATTTCTTCCTGTGGGAGACAAAGACTCCTAGACAATTACTTGATTACCTCCGGTGAGTAGTGTTTTCTTCCGTTGAATACTGCCCTAGACAGTTGCTAGTTTTATTCTCTTTTCAAAAGTTAATTCTTTTAAAACGTAATAAATTAATTGATAAAGTAGTTCTTATTGGAAACAGTTGATTTACGTAAAACCGGAATCGGAAGCTTTTCTTCCGTAGCACTAATCGTGGAAATCGGTTCCGGAATCGATTTCTCGCCAAGCCCTTTTTTCAAGGA